CAGTTCTGGAAGTGAGCTGACTGCTGATGTCAGTTTGGCCGTGTTATCTGACAACATACTGATAGCGGAGTCATCTTCCCCTTCAAGTCCCATTGCAGCCTTCAGTTTCTTCACCTCATCTTCCTGTGTCCTGTACACGTCTAGTTCCTCCTGCACTGCCTCAGCAACCATTGGGAATGGACTTCCTTTCTGTGTGTCCCAGAATTTGTCTACAGTGCTAAGATCATATGTCTTTCTCTTCTTCATAGGTCGTGGAGATCCAGCGGCAGACCTGGCTTCAGACGTCTCTTCGATTTCAACTCTATTTAGTTTAAAATCCAACACATCATGACATAGAGCCTGATATGTCCATGTGTGATGAAGCATTGTTGCAAGATCTAGATTCCGATCAAGTAGCACCAACAGTGGGCGCTGGAAGCTGAACTGACCGGGTTGGGAGTCGGCTGTAAACAAACTATTTCTTGCATCGCGGATGTTTTCACGTAGCTTTTTGTCAAGCTTCTCAGCAACCATTTCGGCTGCATTTCCTCTTGGACATCGGATAATTGGCACAGTACCTAGTGTCACAAAAACTGAAAACAAACTGTCAACAATGGTGTCCATGATGTTCTCCATCTCAGAATCTTTCACATCCCCACGGTTGATGGCATAATATGATATTGAATCTCGGTCTTGATGTCGCAATGTAAACAGATTGTCCTCCAGTGATATAAAGTTCAAATACTGGTCGAACACTTTTGACACCTGGGTGACCGCATTGCTCTGTATTGCAGTACTTGCGATATCCTCTAGTCGCTGACGTGATATGGCAGATATAAAGTTGAAAAAGTAATTTTCATACAGTTGATTTTGCATATCACGGCATATTCTTTGGATGTTTTCATCAGTCGGCAGTACGAAGTAAATCGCCGGTACATCTGGGATTGGGTCTCGATCCGTGTGCAGTTGTAAATGAAGAGTTACACCGATATCTCTCAACTCTTTTACCGTCAATATGGGCGAAATTATATCCTGACCAAACCTGTCGTAGACCAGAATCTTCCATTGGGGTTCAGCAGACGATTGTTTTGTCTGTGGTTGATTAAAATTGAGCATACGCTTCAAAGCCGCAATTTGTTTTTCTCTCACTGACGCTGCCATTTTGACAATGTTGTCAGTGCTGACCCCTACACGTGGCACTTCCGCATTACGCCCTCTGGTCTAGGGTAGATAACTCTTGTCAAGCAACAGACACCGCTTTAGTTACAGAAGATTTTTTTCACGTTAAATAAACTTGAAGTTTAATATGCTATCAATTCCATTTTAAATCTTCGAAAGATTCTCATATAAGGGCGTTCTCTGTATATTGTGTTGTCACCGATTTGAAGTAATACCGACTGATTGTAGCACTCGTGATGTTTCTAGCTAGATCTCCCTAAACATCCGTGTTCGAATTCAACAATATATTTGTAACATTTGGTGATTTCTGGCTCGCTTTTTTTCCGTTAGACTAACACTTTGCCTATGAAAATTCTTTACAATAATTCTGTTTGTTTTTTCCACCTTCCCTCCTCTGCTTTCTGTGGAATCAAGGAAAATAGACTTAGTTTAGTTTGATCTAGACTTGCCTTGGCTTTTAGTAAAGGATTGATTTCTGTTACTAAATTCCACTTTATCAGAACTAAAATACTGATATACTTTATGAAGTCATGAAACATTTATTGATGTGTTAATGTGTTACATTTCAAGGCTGCTAGATCCTTTGGAGGGGTCATTTTACTGTTTATCCCTATTTTATGATATCAATAATAACTATTAATATCACAAATTCAGTTTTGAGAAATCAATAAACAAATGTATTTTTGGATATCACTAAATGAAATTATTTATATAAATTGAATAAGTGATATCGCCAATTCAACTTTTTATCTCTTTAATTAATTTTAGATAGCACAAACTTGGAAATGTATTATTTAAAAAAAAAAATGAATTTGTGATATCAATAATTCATTTCTAGGTTGTAGGTGCTACCAGTTGAGCAGGGCATGCTTAATCTTTTTATAAACACCTGGTGTCATCACTGATTGTCAGTGATCTAATAACTATTTTGAAGTATTTTCACCGCTGTTTTGCCTTTAATGCCTAATGGAATCAGTTTCGGCATATAATCGAGATTGGTTATTCTCAGGCATTGACATTTAATTTTAAAAGTTGTTATGCAATTAATTAACTTTAATATAATTTTCTGATATCTCCTTGTCTGCAAAATATCAATTGATTTGTGATTTCAATAAATTGTCAGGTGCATAATTACTGAATAAGTATGTGTATGAGTTAATAAATATACAGGCTGGTGTGTGTTTTAACAGGCTGGAATTAATGTATGAGGATAACAAGATAATATGGAAGCTAGTGGGAAGAATGAAAGATAAGCCAATAACATCTTCCCGAGGCAAGGAAATAACAGACTGCAAAAGTCCAGTTTCCATGGTATGGTACCACCACCAGTTTCCACTTTTATAGCCAGTTAACTCCCTTGTCTCAGGGAGATGAGCCAATAAAGAAGTAGTGAAAAGTGTTTGTTCTGTGTGTGATAGGAGCTGGCAATAGTACAGCTGGACAATGTAACAAGGGGTCCATTGAGTGGAAGTCACATCCAGTAGACCACCTGTACTGGGTAGGTAGATGCCCTGCACTCTGATAGTTTCTTTGGTTTCTATGATTTTCTCTAAAACGTTTCCCAGTGATGGGTGTTTGTGTGGAGGATTTTTGTATCTTGTCAAGAAATACCATGATTGTTGATTAGGTGCTCCATGTCTTCATGTCGGATTTAGCAACATATAGGTCTTGTGTTCTTTGAATCTGATGGCTATGTGGCGTCATGTCAGTATATTTGTATCCACAGTTACATGTGATCTTGTACAGGCATTCACTTTGGTTTGGATGGACTGACTTGTTACGAACATTAAAGAAGTTGAGATCCATAAAAGATTTATGTATAATGTCCTTCCTACTTCTGATGTCTAATCAAAGATATATCATATACATACCGTATACACTAAATACTCATGGCTTTAGGTGATGTTGTGTTCACAGTTACCTTTGTTTATGTTACTACCTCAATTACGTGAGTGATTATGGGATGAAACCGCCAATTTCAGTGACTTGACTGTATCACCTGTGTCTCCTTGCTGATTTGAAATTTGACCCTTAGTTTAAACACATTCAGTGTGAAATGCACATTGTCACCACTTAAATAGGAGACAGGGCTCGGATAATTTGGCAGCCTCAATTAGTTTGATTCAGGTTGTTCAAACACCTATTTGTTTCCCTGCAAACACAGCATTTATTATTTAATATGTTGATGAATAACAAAACAGTTCATGATACCCCTATGATTACTCATGTCCTGGACAGGCCTCACAGAACCTATCCACCTCCGTCCTGGTGAGACCTCACAGAACATTCTGTCCACCTATGTCCTGGTGAGGCCTCACACAACATTTTGTCCACCTATGTCCTGGAGGGGCCTCACCGAACTTTCTATCCACCTCCGTCCTGGTGAGACCTCACAGAACTTTCTGTCCACCTATGTCCTCGTGAGGCCTCACAGAACATTCTGTCCATCTATGTCCTGGAGAGGCCTCACAGAACATTCTGTCCATCTATGTCCTGGTGAGGCCTCACAGAACATTCTGTCCATCTATGTCCTGGAGAGGCCTCACAGAACATTCTGTCCATCTATGTCCTGGTGAGGCCTCACAGAACATTCTGTCCACCTATGTCCTGGAGAGGCCCCACAGAACCTCTGTCCATCTTTGTCCTGGTGAGGCCTCACAGAACATTCTGTCCATCTGTGTCCTGGAGAGGCCTCACAGAACCTCTGTCCATCTTTGTCCTGGTGAGGCCTCACAGAACATTCTGTCCATCTGTGTCCTGGAGAGGCCTCACAGAACCTTCTGTCCATCTATGTCCTGGACAGGCCTCACAGAACAATCTGTCCATCTATGTCCTGGAGAGGCCTCACAGAACATTCTGTCCACCTATGTCCTGGAGAGGCCTCACAGAACCTCTGTCCATCTATGTCCTGGTGGGGCCTCAAAGAACCTTCTATCTATGTCCTGGAGGGGCCTCACAGAACATTCTGTCCACCTATGTCCTGGAGAGGCCTCACAGAACCTCTGTCCATCTATGTCCTGGAGAGGCCTCACAGAACCTCTGTCCATCTATGTCCTGGTGGGGCCTCAAAGAACCTTCTATCTATGTCCTCGTGAGGCCTCACAGAACCTCTGTCCATCTATGTCCTGGAGAGGCCTCACAGAACATTCTGTCCATCTATGTCCTGGTGGGGCCTCAAAGAACCTTCTATCTATGTCCTGGAGGGGCCTCACAGAACATTCTGTCCACCTATGTCCTGGAGGGGCCTCACAGAACATTCTGTCCACCTATGTCCTGGAGAGGCCTCACAGAACCTCTGTCCATCTATGTCCTGGTGGGGCCTCAAAGAACCTTCTATCTATGTCCTGGAGGGGCCTCACAGAACATCCTGTCCACCTATGTCCTGGAGGGGCCTCACAGAACATTCTGTCCACCTATGTCCTGGAGAGGCCTCACAGAACATTCTGTCCACCTATGTCCTGGAGAGGCCTCACAGAACATTCTGTCCACCTATGTCCTGGAGAGGCCTCACAGAACCTCTGTCCATCTATGTCCTGGTGAGGCCTCACAGAACATTCTGTCCATCTATGTCCTGGTGAGGCCTCACAGAACCTTCTGTCCATCTATGTCCTGGTGAGGCCTCACAGAACATTCTGTCCATCTATGTCCTGGTGAGGCCTCACAGAACATTCTGTCCACCTATGTCCTGGTGGGGCCTCAAAGAACCTTCTATCTATGTCCTGGGGGGGCCTCACCGAGACTTCTCATCACAGTATGTGCAAAATATGGTGTCTTCTTGTTAATCAATTATCATTAACATGTGCACAGTGTACCCAATCATAAAACAAAAAACAACAGATGAATACTGTCATAATATTTTATTTACATGCAAACAGACTGTATTATAGAGATATATTATGCTGAGTAAATGTATATTATATTGAAGCAGTTCTGTTGCTGTGATAAATCTCATATATTTTCTAGACTCTCTGTACAACAAAGACAGGTTTGATATGGAGACAAAATGACCAGACAACACCAAATGCTGAAGCTTTCACCCTCACAAAGACAATGAACCCTGCCGCTTCAAAGGAAGAAATGTCCTACAAAACATGCAGAGGGATAGGGCTGCTACACATTCACAAATGGAGACAACTTATTGTGAGGCTTCTACATGGGAATGGGCAAAATTTCCCCTTCTTATTCAGTTACTATAGATTGCAAATGTGACACTGGAAAACAAGGAAAGTATTCAGGATGTGTTTTGTTAACAATGATCAGTTGTGTGAACATGGCACCAGAACAGTAACCGCTGTCTAAGTCAACTTAAAACAACAAATGGCTGCCAAAACTCTGTCTGCAGATTTTAAAGAAGTCTTTAGCAAGAGATGCTTGATGATTTCAGACAGACATGATCACGTGCCACCTGCATTCTTTCCAAAAGTAACAAAATTTGGCACATGCTTGAGATTATTTCTAAATCTAGAGTACAAATACATGCATGCAATACAATCCAATCTACTAAACAAAAATAGGTGTAACTATACATCGCACACAGAAGCAGGGCGAGACAGAGACGAGCTGACTGCCTGAACACACAGCAACACACATGCATTAACAGTAATGGCATCATTACTAGGAAGGTAGGAACCGGCATACATTACAGTGTTCCCTACTACAGTGTAAACACTGACTATATCTTATTCTCACTTGACAAGTTTAAAGCCAAACTTTTACATTTACTTAATATATGTTGACTACATAATACCTTAGGAATATTTTAATAAGACAATACCACTATTTTGCTTCCATGAATCTGGACCAAATCATGTAAAATGTTGATATCCTAATTTTTTTATTTGAAAACAATTTTCTTCTTCCAATGATGTTCCTACTGATTACCATTCATAATATTCATGATATTCTGGGAGCACACATAATACTTTTTGCTGATGAGACAATAATGTCACAAAATACAATGGACCTAAATCTAACCTACATACTGTATCTGTACTTCCATAGGTCTTTTCTCATCGACACACCACACAGACATACTGAGTAAAGTGCAATGAATGGATACTGGCTAAATGGAGTTACCTCCCTTGCTTCAGAAATCTGACAGGAAAGTGCCTTTCTTTAATGTAAGATGAGGTCTGCTGTATATGAAACTGGATTACCGAGGCTGAAATGACTGCACTGAAGTCTTCTATTGATGCATAGGTCTCCATGGGATGAAACTGCATCTTAATTCTACACACTGCATTTCCCTCGCAGTTTCCATGGTGGATTGTTCACTACTGATCTCTAATGCATTTGATAACATTGCAAACTCTCCAGCAATTATTTTTAAACTAAAGACAAAAGGTGGGTTGAAATAAATTAAAACTTACTGAGAATCAAACAGAAATCAACAATATTACATAAAAGACAAACAACTGGCAAAGCCAAGATATCCTGGCATTCAGGAATATAATGCTTCCAACACTTAACAGCCTCATTAAAACATCAACAACTCATAACATACAGAAATGGTTCTGCGTCATAATGATCCATCTATATATACAATTGTAGTGACTTCACGTGCACATCAGTGGCCTGTACATGTTTTCAGAAAGTAGGAGAAAGTACAACTATGTGTGAGTTTGGAGTTTATTTCAGTCATATCACAATGTGTGAGCCTGGTGAGAATAACCAAGTGATGCCTAAATGGGCTTTACCACTTTGCATAAACCCACAAGCATGTGTGTGGGTAATAGTAATCAGGGCAAAGAAGGCCGATCCTGGCACATCTTGCCTTTGGTTTTGTATGTAACTATAACCCCCCTCCCCAAAAAAACTAAAACTTTTGTCATAAGGATAATCACATATTGCCGGAAATTAATCTACAATGATCTTGTTGGTTGAAAATGAACTTAATATAGCCATTTGACATTACGTCTTGTATGAAGTACTCAGTATGAGTGCTGACCATTATTTCAAACATTATCATATATAAATATAGAAGGTGGGGTGGTGGTAGTCGTGGAGGACGATGGGTGCAGGGAAACAAGTCACTACTGACTACTGATGTCAGTACAGATGGCAGGGACATGCTTCTTCTCACAGCAAGCAGTAAACACACAGGGCATGCAGACAGTTCTTGTATGTACAGCTATAGAAGGAGACTGCAACATGCTCCACAATAGCAAGTCTTGGATCACAACTGCCACATCTTTGTTCTGTGTGGACAAGACATGAACACATGCAGAACAGTTTTGTTCCTTTAGGACAACACATGGACTCATGCACTACATTTTGTTCTTTGTGGACAACATATGGACACATGCACAACAATTTTGTTCTCTGTGTAGACAAGACATGAACACGTCACCTGTACAACATTATTTGTCTATGTAGACAACACATGAACACATGTCACATGTACGTCCATGTGTGGAGTATTGTGTAGTAATGTGCACATTTAGCTGGCGGCTGTAGCACAGGGGGGCAGCTCTCAGAACTGATACATGCACTAGTAGAAATTCTTTGCCACATCCTCTTTAGGAACATTGCACTGGAAATACATTTGTTCATGCATAAACTAAACAGGCAACATTCACTTGCTGTGTTGCAACAGAAGCTTAATGAGAGACAAGTTGTGTGAAGCACTCGTATCATCTGGCCTTGAGATATGTAGATACTGGCAGCTGTATTACTGGCAGTCACACACCACGATGCATGATGTTCACAGAGTAACTATATACATCCATGCAAGACTCGGACAGCCAAGTTCCACGCACTGGCAACACTCAGGCCATACTCTCTGAAGGCCCGATCTGGCTCAAAGCTAAAACTAGAATGTCTCGTTTCTCCTTATAGAACCTGAGTTCTCTCCCAGCTAGTCGTGCAGATTCTAACTCTTTCTCAGATATTTTCAACTCCCTAGGGATGATTGAACAATCCTCCTGTTCTCGTGCGATCCAGTCCAGTGCCATCTGTGACCGCATGTCATCGTCCAGTGCCCGGTGGGAGTAGTGTGCCAGCACTTCCTGCCGTGAGCAGCTGCGTTCCCGCATGGCCTTGAGACTGCCGTTCCAGTGCAGCAGTTGGAAGACGGTCATCAGTTCCTGGAACTCCAGCATGGTGCGCCCCCTGTTGGCCTCAAGCATGAACTTAAAGGCTCCGATACCTGTGCTGGGGTTCTCAATGTCAGACTGGCTTCCCTGGTAGACAGAAGAAAGGAAGAATTTTTACATTGTTTTGATTGGCAGAAATGGTACATCTTTCACATTTAGTCCATATAATTATTGGATGTAAAAAGGATATATATATATCTAAGATTATTGAAATATCCATAGTTCAATGTGTGCAACTAAATGAATATACTGATAAGGGCTCCTTAACTACAAGCAATCTTTGTGTTATGGCACCCTTAACTTTCATACTCAGGACTAGACTTGTGATAGTCGTAGTGCCAAGATGCCTTTGTGGGAGGACTTTATAACTTTATAACATATTCCAGTGTTACCCTATTTCTGTAATAAATATTACATGCGGCATGAAAAGGACATGTTGCCTTGCCGACTAATGCATCACTGCTCCTCCCGGCCTCTAGATTCGGGCCTTAACACAAGGAACATCTTTGCTGCTTAACAGCAACTGTAAATAACCGAGTGGACCTACAAACAATGATGGCTTTTTTATGATGATGACGATGATGATTATGGCAAGCATGGGTTGCTGAAGACCTTTTCTAACCCGGATCTTTACACGCTTTTAACTAAGTCACCAAGCCTGATCATGCTATCTGTTAGGTTGTTTGGCATGACAAGGTTTCTGCGAACCAACTCTTTCCTGGAATCACCCCTGAGGCTGCTGAATCACAACAGACATTTTCTCACCTTGAAAGAAGCGAGAGCATCCCGTATGGCCTTGTCGATGAAGTCGTCAGTTATTTTCCTTGAAGGATGTTCGTTGAATACAGAATTCATGAGTGCAATCTTGGCAGCACTTCTTCTTGCCTCTGCCTTTGTCGAGCAGTTCTGCAAACAAAAAAGTTGGGAATAAGAAAAAAAATACCGATACAACATGCCAAAATGTGAGATCGGGCTAGTAGACTAAAACGATCTTGGCTACCACTACACGTCTTAAAGTTCAGAAAATGTTTGAAACATTGCCACCTGAATCCTTCTCCCAGCATGATAAGGTCATATATGCAATCTAGAGCTGAGTATCACCTGGTATCTTGCGATACTATTGATATCAATATACAGAGAACAAATAGTAAGAAATTATGAAATCACTGAAATACAACTCTAAATCCTCTTGCTTCACACATTTATTTATTATTATTCTCAAAAACAAAAAATATTATCAACAAAAAACAAAACAAGAACAAAACAGTTTTAAATGAAGAGCTGGTTGTTAAATGTAATAGTTAGTGGGCCCATCCTCTATCACCTCGTCCCCGTGTTCTGCCATTCTAACAAGTTGCGCTATGCTACTTCTGCCATTATGGGAGGTAACTCAGTTCCTGTTCTATTTTCAGCGTAACGCGATCTCACACACTGACAATTCAAGTAACGTCTGTACCTATGTATCGATGATATTGTAGGTATTGGTAAATCGTTACAACCCTAATACTATCTATATCCAATGCTGCAAAATACCATCTTCCTGAGGCAAGTGTGTCCACTAAACATCCTTAAACTAGACTTTGGTATTAGGCCTAGCTAGTGGACTCTCTTGCCTCAGGACATCAACATTTAACTACTCACATTTGATTTATTTATGACAAGACTGTTTCATTGCATAACAATATTCAAGCTATTTTCCAAATTACTTTGTTATGACAATCACACAAGTTTTTTTAACATCCATTATATTTATGAACAGTGTTCGAAATAAACATTAGCCCGAGGCCAACAGATTTGTTCTTTGGGTGATAGTTTTCAATATTAAGCTGTAAACATGGTAATGAATCATAACACTAGCATTGCTTTGTGAAACGGTCCAGCTTCAAAGTACTTAAGATTATGAACTATTTCCTGCAATTGTATTGAAAAAAAAATCTGGAACACATGCTTCAACAATGTGTCTATATCAAACATGTCACAGAGCAAGATAAAGACAATCAAGCAAATTGTAAATAAATTAAATAAAGTAACCAATAAAATCAACAAACATTGTCAAGCATTTAAGTTACTATCTTTTTGTACAATCATGTAATGTAAGTCAAATAACATCTCATTATTTGTCACCTCAATTTTTAGGCTCAGACATGATGCAAATAAATATATGCATGAGAAATCTTTGTCACAGGTCGTAACCTATCGCGATATGTCCATGAAGTTCAGGTCGCAATTTACTGCTTAAAACTTTAAAAATAACACGAACTAACCAAAGGCTTTTGTCTAAATCTAAAACATATCATACACAAGGATGGTATCCATTGCTGTAATTTGACTACACTAGGTCATGTGCTTGACTTTGACCAATTGTGATCCTTATATTAGATAACAGCAAAAGTGTCATAAGAAACCAATTATCCAGTATTATCCCATGTGACAACAAGAATAATCCTGGTGAGGTTACTGTAATATTATTGATTTTCAGGGCTTTCTAGTGATACCAAACATCAAACAAATCTTTGCATGTTATTTATACAAAGCTTTGAAAACGGAGGAATTTACCGGTATTTTCTCATGCCACTGAGCGGACCTGTTATCAGGAAAAGTATGTTATGGTCTTGTAGCAGTGACACTTAACATGCTTAAGGCTCTCAGTTTACTCTGTGCAGTTTCAGACAATGTTTATGAAGCACTTGAAATTCTCTGTTTTCTGGCGACTCCAACTCTGTGGAGGATGTGGTGGCATATGTATGTGAGATTAGATCTGTGTGTACAAGTTAAATAACCAGCAACCAGGTGATGTTGAGAATGTATGAGCAAAAAGAAGGTCATAATTTACTGACAAGATCAGCCTACAGTAAACCCTGTTTGGAAATGCAGTGAAGCACAGGGAGGTGTTCTATCTCTGATTACAGGAACCGAGACAGTACTCAGTATTAAATTTCACCAGTTCCTCACAAGACAAAAATGACGTAGCCTGACCCAGAGCAGACTGTCCCTGATATCAACCTGCCCAGAGCAGACTGCTCCTGATATCACCTGCATACAGTAGACTGACCCTGATATCACCTGCACAACAGTAGACTGACCCTGATATCACCTGCATACAGTAGACTGACCCTGATATCACCTGCATACAGTAGACTGACCTTGATATCACCTGCATACAGTAGACTGACCCTGATATCACCTGCATACAGTAGACTGACCCTGATATCACCTGCACAACAGTAAACTGACCCTGATATCACCTATACCACAGTCGACTGACCCTGATATCGCCTGCATACAGTAGACTGACCCTGATATCACCTACACCACAGTAGACTGATCCTGATATCACCTGCCAACAGCAGACTTATTCAAATATGTGCCCTACAATAGAGAGAGCCGGTGAAATGACTGTAAGTAAATAAATCAGTTGTATCAAAGCTTGATGACAGTCCCCTTCCAAACACTGCCAACCTCCTTCTTCAGTTACCTATATACTCTTTAATAAAAGCATTACCTGTCTGTCACTTGTTCATTTCATGTGAATTTCAAGTCACCCAAGCTGAAACTGTATTCCTGTGATTGTGTATGCATGAATAGATGTGAAGGCAGGCTTGTGACTTGTTTATTTCTCTGTTGTGCTAATACATTGCAGTGGTTGTATGGCTGGGTAGACTGACAAGAGATGGGATCTCAGCTGTGTGACTTGAACATGGCTGTCAGCATACAGCAGCCAGTCACCTGGAACATGTGCTCTCTAAACATACACCTTGACCGTTGGCCAGTCTGTTATCTGTCATCCGAATTACATTCCAGCAGCAGGCCCTAGGTGTCTGGTGGCCTATCAAGGCTTGACTTGGGTGACATCAACACAAAACTGTCATTTGTTTCAGGACTTTCGATAACCTCACTGCCTTTGGCTAATACACCAAGTCCACTCATGTATCATACAATGCTTTAACACAGGTGACACATGATTACTTCTTTAACCATGTTAACCTTTGAAGTCAGCTTATGCAGGATTCTGAACTAAGGCCTCCTGTCAGGAATATGTTTGAAAAATCTCTATTTTGTATACAATAGGGATTTTATTAAAGTCCTAATCTTCCTAAATTCAGAGGTATTTAACATTGTATTTTGAGATTACATTCACTGAAATATTAGACAATAATTTTTATTGAGCATTAAATTATATTTTTTTGTCTGGTTATTTGTGAAATACAGGTTATCTCTACAGAGCAATAGCATTAGTTATCAGATATGTATACACACACAGTCGAACCTCACTGTGTTGAACACATGGGGACATATATATATATGTATACACACAGTCAACCTCATTGTGTTGAACACGTGGGGACATATATACATATATGTATACACACAGTCGAACCTCATTGTGTTGAACACGTGGGGACATATATACATATATGTATACACACAGTCAACCTCATTGTGTTGAACACGTGGGGACATATATATATATACGTATACACACAGTCAACCTCATTGTGTTGAACACGTGGGGACATATATATATATATGTATACACACAGTCAACCTCATTGTGTTGAACACGTGGGGACATATATACATATATGTATACACACAGTCAACCTCATTGTGTTGAACACGTGGGGACATATATATATATATGTATACACACAGTCAACCTCATTGTGTTGAACATGTGGGGACATATATATATATACGTATACACACACAGTCAACCTCATTGTGTTGAACACGTGGGGACATATATATATATATGTATACACACAGTCAACCTCATTGTGTTGAACATGTGGGGACATATATATATATACGTATACACACACAGTCAACCTCATTGTGTTGAACACGTGGGGACATATATATATATATATATGTATACACACAGTCAACCTCATTGTGTTGAACACGTGGGGACATAGATATATATATGTATACACACAGTCAACCTCATTGTGTTGAACACGTGGGGACATATATATATATATGTATACACACACAGTCAACCTCATTGTGTTGAACATGTGGGGACATATATACATATATGTATACACACACAGTCAACCTCATTGTGTTGACCACGTGGGGACATATATACATATATACGTATACACACACAGTCAACCTCATTGTGTTGAACACGTGGGGACATATATATATATATATATGTATACACACACAGTCAACCTCATTGTGTTGACCACGTGGGGACATATATACATATATATATGTATACACACACAGTCAACCTCATTGTGTTGAACATGTGGGGACATATATATATATATATATGTATACACACACGGTCAACCTCATTGTGTTGACCACGTGGGGACATAGATATATATATGTATACACACAGTCAACCTCATTGTGTTGACCACGTGGGGACATACATATATATATGTATAAACACAGTCAACCTCATTGTGTTGACCACGTGGGGACATAGATATATATATGTATACACACAGTCAACCTCATTGTGTTGAACATGTGGGGACATAGATATATATATGTATACACACACAGTCAACCTCATTGTGTTGACCACGTGGGGACATATATATACACAGTCAACCTCATTGTGTTGAACACGTTGGGACCTGAAAAGAGTTTGAGTTATTTATTATTAGGGGTTTGAGACATCATGAAAATTGTATGCTTATGTTGGATACCATGGACTTGCAGATGAGTTTGAGACCAGGACTTCGACATGTCCAAGAGCGACACAAGACTCAAATGTATTTCAATAAGAATAGGACATTTGTAATTCCAACTTTGGAAGTTTTAATGACATTTTAATACCTGTATTTGAGTAGTCCATATTTGACATCATTGTTAACCATATTAACAGAGCTTTTGACATTACTCAAGTACAAAATTAGCATTACATAATTACTTCCCTACGAGGGCTGAAGAAGGAGATGCTTGAGATTCAGGTGGACTCTGCTCCATCAGGTATCAATTAGGATAAGACCTCTGCCTGACATACGGCAGCCCTCACTCCATTGTCACTATCAGGGTTGATCTGGGTATAGAAGGTTACCTTCCCACTTGCAGCCACTTAGACAGGGGGCAGGACAAAGGTTAAACACATGCAGGCACCAGACCATGAAAATAAGCCCCATCGCAACTGTCTTTCACTTACACAGAATATTGAAATGTCTATGTACTTTTGCCGCAGGATAAGTAAATTTATCTGATTGATGTTCCAGTGACTAAGATGTCACATACCTAGAGAATCGATTGACACTGCAATCTATTAGCCTCTGGGTTCAAATTTAATACATATATAGTGAATATTTTACATGTTCCAGATTGAACATCAAGTCAGATGTATAAATGAGATGTTACAACATGATCTTTGGTCTGCAGGGAATTTATCGAGACCTTCTCCCAAGTCTGCAGCAAATGTCAGTACACATTCCCAAATTAGAATCATAAACTTTCCCAATTCCTGTTAATAATTACCGATGTTATGGCTTTGTAGACAAAGCCTTAAAGGTGACTTGTATTTCACTGATAAAGTAAAAAGAAAGTGACTTTCATGCTTCCTCATACATTATACATATAATGCCAGGAAATAATATCATTAAATTTAGAAAATATGAATTAAGCAAAATTTAGAAAAAATAAATAAAGATTTTCCCAATTTCCTAGTTTAGAATCCTAGATAAACCCCAGGAGGTGTCGGCACAATATCCATTCCTGTGTCTTGTGTCACTTTCTACCCACATCAAGCTGACAACAGTGTCCGAAATAAGTGCATGCCCGCGGCTGGTAACTTTTTTGTCAGGCTCCATGAAATTTTCTTCTATCTGCCCGACTGTCAGGCAGATAATTTTAAGACTACTTACAGATTCAGTTTAATTATAACAAGTGACTCTCAAGTGATTGTTTGCATTATTTCAACTGAATCATATTGTCTCTTATCTTTATTATTTTTAAAATATTTATAATGTCTGAATGGGGGCAGGTAGCTTTGAAAATGGGCAGGCAACACTTATGGGTCACCTGTCCGACTGTATTGTTGGGTTTTAAGATTATTTCAAACACTGGCTGACAGGCCAAGATGATCGTGTTGAGTCCACATTCTACCACATGTACTATGACTGCCTGCTGTTAGGTGTTTGATAACCTCACAACAAATGGATTACCACCTGTCTGTTGTTGGGGTAAACATGGCTAAAATCAATCTGTAGTTGTTTCAAAATATATTCATTTTATCACAGCAAAAAGTTAGACTTTTGTGTATGAATTCAGTGATGCCTAATCAAGAAGGTAGATATTATTAATACATATTTCTTAACATTAGTGTTTCCAAGATGTTTCAACTCCGACACAATATAGAAAATATATAAAGTAATTCATTAAATATTGAAAGAAGACAAATGTCAACATACACTAACCATGCTTACAAATAAAGTTTCCCTGCATGCTGTTTATATTTGCAATTCAGCATAATTCCTAAAACATCACAAAATACATACAGGGAAATAAACAGGTGCTGACAACACCTATGGTGTCGAGCTGACATGTGCCCGCGTCCCAGACTATCGGAATACCACACCACATAGCAGGCGTTCACCGGAGTGTGACCACCACTTGTGTAACTGCCTATGACAGATTCTACGTGTATTCCACACCTGTTCCACGCTGGCCAACGACACAATGCTAGCGACACTGAACCCAACAGATGAGGATAGCTGGACAAGTCACAGCAACAAAGAAAACTGTTTCTGTGTCTACAGACAACAAAATAGCCATAAAATGCGCTCTGTTTGTACTGATAACAAACTATTTAACCTGAAATAAACACAACGTGGCAAGTGTGCCTAAAGAAGAGGCTTTTGTTCGAAAGTGTCAATGACACATGACATATTGTTAGGAGTGATACCCGCATCAATAAATATCCTCAATACCTCTTACAGATCTCATTTTAATTGTATATCTTAATTCTTCATTATCATTCTCTCTCCACCATTGAAGGGCCACCAGCTGTTTTGATATTTCATCATTGACTAAACCATGTAAACTAACATTTTGTCATTTCACAATTTCATACACATAATTGATAGAAGAAGAATAACATGTTTGAAAATATTTAAGTCTGCAAACATACGTAAAATGTTTTTATTATTCCATCAGTCGTGTGTGTGAACATAACCTAACACACCAGGAAACTGTATTGTAAGACCATGATGGGGAGAATACAAGTAGCATGAAAACAGGACGTTTTGTACAAAATTTGTCAGTTCCATGTTATTTGCCTAACACTGCAAAAAGACCCAAATTTAACACAAAAATGTTGAGATCAAACTGTTCAAACTATAACATTCCCGACGGGCCCCAGCAATGTGTTCGGTCAATGGCATATCTCCAGTAGTGGTCTTAGCATGCAGCATTGTCTGTATAGCTGGGAGGGCGGGCCGGGCAAGCACCGCTCTCATGTGTGTGATTACATCGCAAGCTATTGAATAAGGATTATGAGATACCAAATTGAGGCTGACTGCCTTGTAAAGTACACAAACTCCATGGCTCCTATAGCATGTATAAATGCTGTATACCTGGGTATTGGGATATTTGTAAAGATATAGCTGGTTGTCGGCTCAAATATCTGTTTGCAGGATGCTATAAATTGCTAAAGGAAGGACTTCATATTGGCTGATAAGAATGTCTTTAGATAAATATGTTTACACGAGCTGGTTATTCAAGCCGAGGGCTGAATGAAGTAACCGACTTACCGATGTACAAGTTAGTGTTGACAGAGTGAGATCTAGTGTATATACCTGGCAATTCCCATGGCTTTGCTCAATACTGATGCCATTAAACTACTTGGTGTACAGCTAAGTAAACATGACAACTATCTTGTGTTGAAACGTATCAACTTCACACAAACTAGACTCCAAACTTTTAGAGAGCACTGACATAATATTTGCTAGCTTGTTGAGAAGCTGGTTAACTGAATCCTGCAAACATCTTGTATTTTACCCCACAAAAACTTCTGGAATTCAACACCTCAGAAGCCGGGATACTAGTGGTGAATGTTGGAACTGTTTGTCAGTGGAATGCTGATGGGACAGTTATTCATGGATGTGGTCCAGGATAGGGAGACTTGTACATTCCACTGTTGATATTCCAGTGTTGACATTTGATATTGTGTTAGACTGATTTGTATTTCTCCTGCTAGAGAGTTTTCGTGTTAACAAACGCTGGGTGATGTTGAACCTTTGCAGTTTCTAGCAGGGCTAATAGCACCAATGTCAACAAGCAGCTAAATGCTGTCTCCACTGATCTTAAGGAGTCCTGATTTCTGTCCACATAAAACATATTTAAACAAGTCCATGTTGTTTCTAGCATTTTTTAACTCTATTAACTTATAAAACATGAAAACTTGTGACTGAAACTAAATAAATTGCTTAACGTGACCTCAACATCCCTTGAAGAAAGCTGCAAGTCAATCAGACCAAATGTTTTCACACATTAGACATGTTAGAGGATGAACAAAAAAGCTCAGTTCAACTGGCTTTTAGGACATCTCATCTTGGGCAACTGGTCTCTGACAATAGCATCAACATATTGTTATAAGTCAGTTTTCATTTTCATAGCTGTCACAATCTCTTCCAAGCAAATGATCACATTACCTGAAAACTGCCAAAGCAGCTGCCTCCAGGTAGAGTGACGTAGCAGACGTATGGCGGAGATGAGGCCGGCTCTGACTCGTACACCACCAGGGCGCCATTCTTCAGGTCCGCGCCCCGCTCTAACTTCATCTGCCAGAACTCTTGCAAAGCCTCCACCACATTCACTGAAATAGGGGAGACAACTCTCATTAAAATGACCTGCCTAAGGATAGATAACTCCCTGAATGGTAACAAGATATATGTGTCTCTGTTTTGGAATTTACTTTTAAATTCACCAGCGCACATACATATCAGATAAAACTTTATACACATATACATTGTGTCATATTAAATAGACCCATGTGAGCTATACCAAAATATTTTTACCAACCACAATGACATGATTCACTAGTTTAAAATTACTATTCTGAGTACAACCAAAATGTTTTTAAATTCAGGTCTTTGAGGTTCAACAGTTTTCTTTGGAGAAATTGTTCCGAAAAAATAGACATGACATTCAAAGTATACATAGGTTAACGACCCATTCTCTGTTTCAAAGGGTACAAACAATTTGGCTTCATTTTAAGTAATTCGTTTGATGTAAGAAAATCAAGAAGGTAAACATGCATGGTAAACTGTCGGAATATGAGAAAAGTTACTAGTAACAATTAAAAAAATATATGAAAAGGCATGTATTGGTTTGTCACTGGTTAGAACAAAGTACAATCTGGACAAGAATTGTAATGATATTTTCATTAATTGCAATTCAAGATGAAATAGGAAACTCTCTACATTAGCACTAGCTGCAACGGAACTGTGGTTGCAAGTCGTGAAGAATGTCTCCAAATATGAAATCAAAGCTTGGTAATTATCTTCCCAACAAGCCATAGCAGGTGACCCCTCAACCTTCCTTCCAATCAGAGCTGGTGTGAACAAACAACAGTAATTATAGTGTTGACAGAGGGAAAGCGGTATTATCTCTCAGATTTACCAACATCGCAGGAGGAAGTTTAATGACGATCAAGACAAATCTCTCCAGTTTATCCTCATGTCTCTACACACGATCAACACCTAGAATCAATACAACCGCCGTCGTAGCCCAGCGTGACCCTGCAATACTCCAGTTTCTGCCACTACAGTGGCAACATCGACGAGGTGGCAAGGTGCACAGGGGCGGATGGAGCAAAGCGTGCTGATGAACAGTTTCTTCTACATATACAACATACATACAAAGGAATAGACAAACTCCATGACAGACACCTCAACATCCACAGTGTCTGACAAACATGACATGTTGGAATTTTTGCATATGGCACAACTTCTGAAGGAGGGGACACTCTGAGCAGAGACAACCCAGGCTGCCTGGAGTAGGAATGTGTTAATACAGTATATTTACCTGACAAAAAGTGAATAACTCACTGACCTCTACAGGACAAATAAATATTTGCATTACCCTGTGGTATTTGCAGTAGATATTAAACCATGTTATACTTTGAAGTAATGTCAATAGGCACATCACCGGTTGAACTGTGGTGGCAAATATGCTACAGACAATGAGTTGGACAAAATGTCATGAATCTAATACCTTACTCAAACTACTTCAAAAGATGCACGAGTCCCGTGTAGTTCATAGCCATGACAGAAAGATATGTCTTACTCGATCACAGAATACAGTAGCTTGATGTATCCTCAAAGGTTCCTTTGGTTCACAAGGAGCGTGAGCTCAATGATTGTCCATATTCCATTGAAACATGATCAACATGGACATGGTTGACAAATCTAAAAGTCCTAAAACTGGCATGACCCAATCCTTTCTCCCAAGCCATCCAACATGATGACAAAAACACATAAACAAGTATCAACTTACAGTCTGCAGAGGCAAAGTCATAATCCATTGGCAACATTTTGTAAAATGAATCCCAAATTGTGTAGAACAGAGGTTGTGTGCACTGTTGCCTGAGCTGCAGGTTACACCACAGTTGCACTGCACCAGACCGTCCCTAACATGTCCACTGAAAGGCGCCGGGCATCCCTGTCTACAGACTGCTGTGCTCTCCCTGGCCCCAAGTGAACAAACTGATCCTGCTCAGTATTGAATCATGTTTTGCCAACATGGGCGTTTGTTTTTCCCAAGTCGTCACAACAAGCTGCTGCTGCAAGCCTCACTGGCATCTTGTGGCATTCGACATGAGGTTATGTGTAGCAATAGCTAATTACACAATCGTCAAAATAAACACGATGTAAAACAATATTCTAGTCCTAACCCACTCTTCTGGCGACAACTGCCCTAATTAACACCTCTATTATTACTGGTGTTTATTTAACATGTTTGTTCGGTGCAACTAATTAGCTGCCCAGGTGTAATAATCTGTAAATTTAACACCCTCAGCTGTCAAAGCTCAAAGTAATTACCTTTGACACAAAGAGGGGGAGAGAATTATATATTTAATCAGATGGCCTGAAGACATTTGTTGAAATGAAATAAAAAAAGCCCAATTAAACAGACAATACCTAGCCGCAGTATTTCTGGACTTCAGCAAAGCCTTCGACATGGTATGGCATGACGGACTCCTCTCAAAACTATCACAAAATGGAGTTGAAGGGAACATGGCAAACTTCATAGACAGCTTCCTGCAAGACAGGTCGCTTTCAGTTAAAATAGGGAACAATCGATCGGATCCTATGGCACTGGACAATGGCACGCCACAAGGCAGCATTATAAGCCCAACCCTGTTTAATATCATGATCAATGATCTTTTTGACCATGTCAACTCTCCTACCCAAACTTCTAAGTTCGCTGATGACGGAGCAATATGGGTAAAGCACAGAGATATCTCACAAATCAGAAAAAAACTCCAGTCAGCCCTGGACGGAGTAGATCAATGGTGCAATAAATGGGGATTCACCCTTTCAAGTGAAAAAACTGTTGGAGTTCTATTCAAACGCCGGGGGAAAGATGCTATGATACCCCGTGTCTCCATAAAAGGCAAACCTATCAAATTCGAAAAATCTGCAATATTTCTTGGAGTTATCCTTGATCAACACCTCACTTGGCGCAAGCATATCGAATATGTGGAAAACAGATGTCAAAAAGACCTGAACGTATTACGGGCAATTTCAGGCACATCTTGGGGCACATCGAGGGACACTCAGCTGGACCTCTACAAAGCTCTTATCAGATCAAAAATTGACTATGGTTGTGAGGCTTTTCACTCAGCATCAAATACTGTCTTGAGGCGACTAGACAGAATACAATACAAAGCCCTAATACTGGCCACAGGCGCAGCGACAGGCACCTCACTAGAAGCACTACAAGTAGAAACGGGAGAACTCCCATTGAAACTAAGACGAGAGCAGGCAATATTATCGTTCTGGGGACGAACATCAAACCCTTTGGTTAAAAAGATATGGCAAGACAAAAACGCTCGAGATGAGGCCCTAGCTCGAAAAAATCCCTCACTAAAGCCATCTGGGATATTAGTACGTGAACTCATTCAAAGTCACAATTGCGATGACATTCAGCCTCCAGAAAGTCACTACAAAGGGTTACACCCTCCCTGGACTTTACAAACTCCCAAAGTTGACACTGCTTTAACATCAGAAGTCACTAAAAGAGAAAACCCAACCCTACTACGTTCAGTAGCTATCACTAAAATTCAAACTACCTGGGACAGCTGGGCCCATATATACACTGATGGATCCAAGAATCCTATCAACAACAGTGCTGGTTACGGGATCCATATCCACAGCTCCAAACCCCAAGCACATTCAGTTCGCTTGCCCGATGGTCAGTCAGTATTCACGGCTGAATTGGAGGCAATTCATCATGCACTCAAACTCATACCGGAACTCCCGGAAGCAAAGGCAGTCGTCCTATCAGACTCGCTAAGTGCACTTCAGGCCATCAGTGGAAGAAACTCAAACTCCAGGCCAAACACAGTCAACAATATTCTATACGAATATACAAAACTATCGGACCAAGGGCAACAGGTGGAGCTGTGTTGGATCCCCTCTCACATAGATATTCATGGAAATGAAAAAGCAGACTCACTGGCGAAGCTAGCTCTAGACAAAGCGGATATACAGCCTATTCCCTTTAGTAAACTAGAGATAAAAAGCAAAATCAAAGCCTCCATAGCAAAAAGATGGCAAACCCAATGGGACGCAAGTAAGATCGGCAGATGGCTATACAAAATTCAACCCAAGGTCCAACAAAAGCCAAACTCATACTCAAATGAAAGGAAAATTGAAACTGCTATCTCACGCCTCAGACTTGGTCACAAAAAGCACTATGACAAGGTTTGTTCATCTTGCAATCAGGCTGAAACCATTGACCACCTGTTACTAGAATGTCAAGACCATGCCCCGGCCCGGGCTAGGTTAAAACAAGAATTGCAGTTAGATCCGCTATCTGTCATAGATCTCCTAAAGCCAAGAGATGCAATAGCGAAGGCCAAACTAACTCTATTTCTGAGAGATGGACAGCTGCTCGAACGTATATAAACAGAGCAGCCAAGGATAAAAATGAAATCATATCAATATAAGAAAATAGAAATCATATCAATGCAAAAACAGAAATTATGTGAACACCGAACTCACAATAGATATGTGAACCCTTCTCACACACAGGAGTCCCAAAGAGGGACAGGTCAGCCGAAATTGCCTAGGCAGAAGGCGACCTCTTAAACACCTAATGCAACAACAACAACGACATTTGTTGTTGCAGCACTTAATCCTATTGCAGATAAGGATGAGGATTGCTGACACACAAGTAACAGGAAGCTTGTATGTTGTACAGTATCACATATTGTTATCTGTGTTCTGGTAGAGTGTCACTGTTTCACACATAGACCTAAACCCTCACCTGGAGTGTAGCAAGGCGACATATTCATGTAATATTTCAATCAATGATGACTTCATCTCAACAACTGTTTTATCAAGGCATGTCATGAAAAAGGGTAAAAGTCTACATGTTCTAATCAGCAATTAAATACCGGAAAATATTCAGGTTTTTGTTGTTCTAGTTTGCTTGGGTTGGGGTCACAAATAAAAACATCACACAAACATTTAAAGTTGTATTTATGGTATCTGCAATTCCAAATGTAATGGAACTGCTTGAACCTCAAACCCTTTCAGTATTTATGGTCATGTGATTTCTTTTAAGCATAAACTTAATTTATCCATC